AAATATTATAATGAATAAACATTATAAACACTATAATCATAGCCTAGTTCCCCTCACTCCACAACAAACCATTTAAATGTAACGGTATGCAGAACAGATCAAGAATGAAAAAAAAAAATATATATAAAGCTAAAGAAACCAAAACAAAGCAAAACTGAAAGCACCGTTGGGCTCACGTACCTCTCTCATTCGGCACAAATCCAATGTTTCCATATTCGCAATGTATTTCAATGTTAAACTATTATTTATAATGTAGACCAGGCTTCATGCGCGTTCGCATATCCACGAAAAAAATCATCCTCTTCGCATGCGCAAAAATGTGCTTGGCATAACAGCAGCTGTAGACCGGTTATACTACGGACTCTTTAAATTGATATGTTTGGCTGACTGTATTTTATTTTAATAATGAACAGACTGCGATGGCAAGCTTGAATTGCTATAATATGTGGTGTGTGCACGAGGCGGCGGCGCGATCAAACAACATTAAATAGGCTACTCCAATTTTGGTCATACAGATAAGATTAAGACAACCCGCAAAGTGTTACAAAAAATAAAAAATAAAATAAAATAACGAACACTAGCTTCTCTATTCTTTTTGTATTCTATCTAATTATTTTCTTTTTATTTATTATACAATTAACAAAAGCAAAAAAGGCCTCTAACACTAGCGTGCTCTATTCTTTTTCTATTCTATCTGTTTTCTTTTTATTTATTAGGCCGATATAATAATAATAAAAAAAACTTGCTACATATATATTATGTTAAGCTGAGATTTGTTATAGCACTTGCGTATCATTGCTCTTTTGTTGGTTTTGATTGCTTCTATTGTCCTCATTTGCAAGTCGCTTTGGATAAAAGCGTCTGCTAAATGACTAAATGTAAATGTAAAGATTTACATTTATTTTTGCACACTCGCAATAAAAAGAACATTTGTGTTTTTGTAATTAAGCAAACAAACAGGATGTGCTTCTGTCATCTCGGTTCTCGGTTTTCTTTCCGTGAACTTGTTTGCGGATCGCCGCGCCTCACATCTGTTAATTATTTATGTCAGATATATTTCGCATATTTATACCTTTTCTATATAGATTATGATTGTATTTTATTTTTATGGAAACAAATTTTGTTATTTTTAATGTAACTTACATAGATTTGCCTTAAAGGCACAATATGTAAAAAAATTTTTATTAAAATATTCAAAAACCACTAGAATAGTGTATGATATATTTTGCTGACTTGTGTACTTACATTATCCCACAAACTACGCCTTTGTTTCTTTGCTTATTTTGAATACGCGCCCCCTAGCGGCGAAAATTACATATTGTGCCTTTAAATCACCCTGGCGACCCATTTTTGACCCAGGGTTTGAAAACCTAGACTGTATAGTTAGGTCCATGCAGAAACTTGTGAATGATGCTCTTATAGTTGTGTCATCACCGTTTAGAGACGTCATTGAATGTTCCGGGAAAACTTGTTGTATTGTCAGTGTCGGTCACGGCGCCTTTTAACTTCTGATTTGGATCCGGCAATGTTTCATTTACAAATTAAGCACTGACAGAAGTATAATACTGACCATATTTAATAGTATTTTGAACCATGCCATACACTTTGAATATAATATTTATTTATTTATTTGTGGGAGCAATTGTTATTGGATGTTATAATAGATATTAAATTGCCACTTGCTATTAAAAGCATGTTTCAAAACAGACCCGATCCAAGTCCATTCTAAGAAATTAGATTCGGTCCAGTAGACCCAACATGGAATTACTGTGGGATGAATGCTCCCATTGTTGCAGCTTTTTGATTTGCACTGGAGATTCATCACAGTGTTTTGTATGTGGTCTATTATGTGGAATAATAGACCACATACAACATTAAGTTATACTTACACTTATCAACATAAGTGTAAGGATCACAAGTCAAGGATGAAAAAGGCCCATGCCTGACTGCTAGCACACTGTGGTTTTCCATCTCTGGGTATCCAGTGCTGCATCTCCGTTAATGCATTTTCAATATCTCTCATATCCCTCTTATACGGCATAAGAAAAATCTTTCAGGCAGTCAATCATTACCATAATCGATTCATTCACCCATTACTTTTGCTCTGCACCAATGGTCTCAGCTGAATACTGTGAGGGAAGAGGTATTCTTCAGGATCACACCCGACTGTATCAGTGCATGCTGTTTTGCTATCCCTGCCATTCTCTGTTCCTTGTTTCTCTCCAAATGACAAAGGCTATCTAACAGAGAAGAAACATTTTGTTATTGTTAAACAGGCAGGTTGTTATACAAAAGGACGGATTTCTTCACTAGTACTTTAATAACGAGAAAGGCACAGTCAATAAATGGCACTAACAATTCGTTCTGCTTCGCCTGCCGTAATTGAAAAGTAAGTGATGCAGAACTTTGGATGCTTTGCCCTTTCTTCTTTTTTCTCTCCATTTATTTTCTTTCATTTTATGTTACTGTTTGAGTCAGATCTGCCATCAAGTCCTGAGCTGAAAGTGCAGAGATGAGGTTTGCTCCAGGGATAAGACGTGTGCTTACGGTACCGGAAATGAGGACAGACTGCAGGATCTGTGAGGCCAACAGACAGAATGTACTTTGTGTCCATCTATACTGCTAAACGCCACATATGCAAAATGACAGTGATTGTGTCATGATGAGCTATACGAACAGTAAAAGGAACATCTCAGTCTCAGTGAATGGCTCTGGGCTGGACTGGGGCCCGTGACGTGTTGCTGGGCAGAGTGGTGTAACTGATGCACTGTGAGTGGACTCTGCAGAGATGGGCTCAGTGCGCAGCGAAAGGATTATTCTTAATCTAATCTGCCCCTCAATGGTTAGCTTGTCCTGTACTCAGAGACCGCTCCAATAAGACTACCCAGATCCCCTGGCTGATGCGTTCAAGTGGCTCCAGGACAGAATGTATCAAATATGAAATTTGCAACTGAATTCCAAGCTGTTGTGAGCAACTTTCCAGCAAACAGGTCTGGAATTTTATTTGAAGCTATAGTTTGCCCAAAAATGAAGTCTGTCACTCATTTTCATCTCTTCCAAACTTGAATAACTTTCTTTTTTCTGTGACATGCAAAAGAATTCTGAAGAATGTTTCAACAGTTTGTTCATACAATGTTGACTTTCACTGTATAAATCAAGACTTTTTTTCAGAATATCGTCTTTTGTATTTTGCAGAAGACAGATTTGGAGTAAGGAGAGTTGAGTAAGTGGAGACATGAGAGACATGAGTAAGGAAATGATGACAGAATTTTCATTTTTTTGGGTAAACTATTGCTTTAACATGAACACTTATGTTATGAGGTTGATTTGAAATAGTAACTTACATTTGAAAAGATACAAAATAGCTTTGCATGTGACCTAGTCCATGTGACCTTAGCATTATAAGTTGAAACACAGTGAATGGAAAAGTGGAAAAAAATTACATTTTAGCGCACCCCTTGAAAACAGACCAGATGTGAGAATTCAGAGAAGAAAAACTAGAAAGAGATTCATGTAAGTACAGTATAGTCCAGTGGAATAATTCACTGAATATTGTGTTAAATCAGCTTTGTCATAACTGCACTGTCATTTTTTACACTTTCACAAAGGAAAAAGTCTATAATAGCAGAACATGATACTAAAGGCCATGGGTTCGATTTCCAGGAAACTGATTAAAAATAAATCACATTACAATGTTTTTATGATGGATAAAACTAGGGCATGACAGAACATTTGTCAAAGGAACTGATAATGATTATTTGTAGTGGCTCACAGTGTTCTCCTCATCATTTCATATCGTTCTTATAAATAAAAAATAACACATAGAGGGAAAACGAAAGCTAAATATGTCATCAAGACTTTCAATACACAGACCAGGCCAAGAGCTGATGGGAGACAATCATGTCATTTTGAATTTTAGCACACGAGCAAAACCTCTCACGCAAAACTCATGAAAACAGATCAAATAACACCGCGGCTTCGCCCGGCGCTCTCTCACGCGCAGTTATCAAACAATGAGCACTTGCACAAAGTGTCTGCTCCCCCTCCACCTCTAAACACACACTTAGACTGGTGATGGCACCTCATAAACTGTTTGGCAGTGTCGACATTATCAGCGGCTCAGAGTCAGACATCATGTCCCTCCAATTAGAGCTTCACAGCTCCCCTCATTCATCTTTATTGGTGATACATTAGCCACCATTAAATAAAAGACATGGGATAATCTCCATAATGATGTGGATGATGACGTCGAGTGTGGGAGAGGGAGGTAGGAGCTCTGTGACTAGAATAGGAAAGAGGGTGGGTGTCGGGTGAGATGATGGCGGTGGACATGTTTTGGGTCGGTGCCCGGGAGAGGATGAGGATGGTGATGAAGGTGGGGAGGGATGGACACGAGGAGCTGTGACAGCAGCATTAGCCATTAGCACGCAGCCGGGAACACATTAGCCATTAGCACGCAGCCAATCAAAACAGCGCACCT